GCACTGCGTATTGGAGTTCAGGAGTTTGCTGCAGAGTAGGATTTGTGTGATGCCACTCCTGTCTTCCAGCTCGGGGTGGTGGAATTAACTTTTTTTTTTTTTTTTATAGCTTATGAGCAGCTCTTGTACACTTTTGCCTGTGGTGATGTGGAGACTACATTTTTTAAGGGCTTGTACTGCTTTTTCCCTCCCACCCCAAATTATGCAGGACAGATGGCATGCAAACTAGAGTGCATTTTGGAATGCCTTTATCCTACAAAAAAAAAAATCAAAAGGAAAAGAGAGAACTTCACCATACTGAGGCTTTTTCTTCTTCTGGATGAGTTGCACAGTACTTTCCTAAGTGCCTTTAGGGGACCCTTTGCCTTTTGTGCAAGTCCTGAGATGCTGCTGTTGGCTGATATTTTTTTTTTGATGGCTAGTGCATGAATTCTTTGATCTTGTATAGCTAAGTTACCTGTCATGTGTTACTCTGGAAAAAATAATTCAAGCACCCATGAAGACAGAGAAGCACCCTGAGGATGGGTAGGTGTGTAAAAGGGAAGATGTAATTGGAGCATGTTCTAGCATGCTTATGGCGGATTTATCTGGCTGGCACAAGGTGCGGCTGCAGGGACTTCACCATGTGGTTATCCTGTGATCTCCTAGCAAGGCCTCATGTGTGGTAATGTGTGTATTTTTGTGAGATGTTGTTTGTGGAAACAATAGATCAGGACTTTCAGAACAATGCTGTTCGTAGATTTGCTAAGTTACTGCAAGGATGAGTAGGGCCCCTATTTCACGCAATAAATATTTTGAGGAAGTTTGGATATGGGTGGTTTATGCTGGTATAATTCTTTATGTTCCAAAACAGATGCTTTTATTGTCAATAATTTTTTTTTAATTAACTTAAACTGAGTGATACAAGCTAATCTGGAAAGATGTACTTGTGCTGCAGTAACAGTGTCTTCATGATGTGTGCTTGTCTGTTATGCTTGTGTGACGCTGAGTAAAGTCCTTGGGAGTGGGGAGAAAAGCCCTGAATGGCTGAGTGGCAGAACTCAGAGGGTTGTCGTCAGCGACGCTGAGTCTAGTTGGAGGCCGGTAACTAGTGGTGTCCCGCAGGGGTCAGTACTGGGCCCAGTCTTGTTTAACTTCTTCATCAACGACCTGGATGAAGAGTTAGAATGTACCCTCAGCAAGTTTGCTGATGACACCAAACTGAGAGGTGAGGTAGATACACCAGAAGGCTGTGCTGCCATTCAGCGAGACCTGGATAGGCTGGAAGGTTGGGCAGAGAGGAACCTGATGACAGCAAACTCAGTTTGCTGTAATGTAGATGGGAGGGACGTTTCCCCTTCTAATTTAACAAACTCGAAAAAGTGAGCAGACCGTTACCCTTCAGTCATCTTTTCTTCCTAGTTCTTATGTAGCAGCATAGAGGTGCCCAAACTTCTGTCCTGGTTATGCCTCACACCCTCTCATAGGGGCATGCAAGGAGCATACAGCACTGCAAATTTTTGACTTTAGGGCTACGAGGATGGTGAGGGGACTGGAGCATCTCCCCTACGAGGAGAGGTTGAGGGAACTGGGCTTGTTCAGCCTGAGGAAGAGAAGGCTGCGAGGGGACCTTATAAATGCCTACAAATATCTGCAGGGTGGGTGTCAGGAGGATGGGGCCAAGCTCTTTTCAGTGGTGCCCAGTGACAGGACAAGGGGCAATGGGCACAAACTGAGGCACAGGAAGTTCCGTCTGAACATGAGGAAGAACTTCTTCCCTCTGAGGGTGACGGAGCTCTGGAACAGGCTGCCCAGGGAGGTTGTGGAGTCTCCTTCTCTGGAGATATTCAAGACCCGCCTGGACAAGGTCCTGTGCAGCCTGCTGTAGGTGACCCTGCTTCGGCAGGAGGGTTGGACTAGATGACTCACAAAGGTCCCTTCCAACCCCGAACATTCTGTGATTCTGTGATTTCCTGTGTGAGCAAAACAGAATTTGTATCCGAGTGTTGTGCTGGCTGGAGAATTTCCAGTGGAATGTATATTTCTTTTAAATCAGAAAACATGTACTTGCTGAAATAAATATTTTCTGGTAAGGTGCAGCTCTCGGTGACTCTTCTGGTTGCATAGGCCGGTTTCCATCAGTTACCCATTTTTAACCCATTTCCTTGTCACCTCTGTAGCCTCTGTAGGTCTGTGGCTCTAAGGGATCCTCTGTCTATGAAATGGCTCAGGCTGAGGCTCCTTGGACTGCGGTCTGGTGTTTGTGGGCAGCCCTAGTGTGTGGAGTGTTTGCAGTGTTGGAGTTGCCTGGGCTACTGTTTTTGGGACCCTGGCTCTTGGTCAGTAGGGCTGGGTGACCCAGAGACCGTTGTCGAGGTGATGCAAGGTGTGAGGGCTGTCCGGCTCTTTGTTGCAGAGAGTTCTTTGTTGCTGGGAGTCGAATGTGGCTCTTGATGTGTATGGAGTTCAGAGCTCCTAGTTGTGCAACAAGATTCCCCAAACCCTGCCAGGATCCACAAGGGCTTCTGTTTGCTTGCTGATATTTGTCGAATAGTTATAGATGCCTGTATTTGTAATTTATTTCAACTTCATGACAAAGAAGAAAAAAGGGATTGTAAAGCACTGAGACACAGTTGCTGACATCTCTTTGGTCTATCTAGCAAAACCTTTTATTTTGCCAAGCTGCATGTTAAAGATTCAGAACCTTGCGTTTATTTGCTGAAGGAGGAAGAGTCCTGCACTACTCTCTATTCATACAAAGTGGCCTGTCTAGATTATGCCATGTCCTTGCTAGTGAGCCCAGCAACCTCGCTATAAAACATGGCAAATACCTTCTTTTGTCCTCTCGGGGTTGGAAGAATGTGTGAGATCACTGTTAAGTTTTCCCAGGTAGTATTTACGTTCAGCTATCGATGTGCCTCTTGTAGGAAGCCACAGCCTCGGCACTGATGCCTTTCACAGAGGAGTTTGGTATGGCCAGTGTTTTCCAGTGCAGGTACGTGAGTCTGTCTGTTTGCAGTGTCAAAACAGTTTTAACAACTGAGCATTAGTGTGCTGAGGAAGTGTGGGCTTGTGCTTGAGTATGACTGAAAGATCTCGCTTTGCTACTCTAGTGAGATTGGGGAAATGAGGCTAGTAAGCCTGCTGGGCAAAAGGGCAGAAGCAGCGACGGATGACATAGATGGATGTGTGGGTGGCTATGAGGGAAGAACGTTTTTTGGCAAGGTGAAGGCATGGCTTGCAGATCTTTTGGAGGTTTCTGAAGGAGTCGGTAAGTGGACAAAGCAGATTGTTGGATTTGCAAAGAGAGGTCAGCAAGATCCTTCACCAGAAGCTTTTAAAGAGTCTGAGCTGTCATGGGTAAGGAGAAGTCCTTGCAGAGTAGAATAACTACTCAAATTAGAAGAAACATAGGCTAGAAATAAATGATAAGTCTCCTGAAGGAGATGGCAGTTAAGTTCCACAGACATCTGGGGAGATTATCTGGAGAACAGGTGAAAGGAGAGTTAATGAGGTTTTCTGGCAACACTGAGTTATTTGGCATAGTAAAGACTGTAGAATGACCTGTTGCTCTTAGTAGCTGGGTAGCAGGACAGCAGATGGGATCGAAAGCTGCAGTGAGAAGGAGGATTGTTCTTTTCTTCCACGTGTGGGACGATAGAATCTGGACTGGCTAGTCTAACTTGGGAAGGAGATCCCTAGGTCTTAATGGATAACTCCGTAAAAACATTTAGCTCAATGTTCATTCACAGTACAAAAAAACGGGGTGGGGAGAGGAATGTTAGAAGTTACCAGGAAAAGTATGTGATAGCACATGTCGCTGTTAGGTGTCCACAGCACTCTCTGTAGCTTAAATACTGCAGCAGTTCTGGTCTGTTCCTTTGTTTTCTTCGCTGTCCTCCAGAAAACCTCTAATAGAACCAGAAAAGAGACAGAGATGAAGAGAAGGTGATCGAGAGGAGGGCTTCTTGAAGAGCTTCGAAGTGAGAAATGACTGAATAGACTCAACCTTTTCAGACTGGAAAATAGATGATTGGATGGGGACGTAGTAGAAGTCTGTAAATACAGTAGAATAAAGTGGCAAGGACGAGTGCTTGTTCGGTATCACATAATGCAAAAACTAGGGAGTGCTAAGAAAGCTAGCATCTAGCTTATTGTAAAGGTAGCAAGTAGGAGGTTCAGAAGCATCAAGAGAGTTTGTTTTATTTTTTTAAGAAAAAAATGAATTGGGAATCTTAACTTGTGGATGTTAAAAGTTTACATGGGTTCAAAAATGATTGAACAAACAGAATAATAACGTGCCATGGCCATTAAAGCAAAGACACTATTTCTAGCTCAGGAAATCCTTGAGCCACAGATCTCTAGACTCTGGGAGATTATATGAGAGCAATATCGCTACAAGCTTTGCTCCTGTGTTTTGTGCTCACTTGTAGGCACGTACATTAATGGACTTTACTGTTCAGAGGAAGGATACTGGACTGGGAAGTGCTTCGGTCTGTGTAGCTGTTCTGTTGAGTCTTCAGAGGAAGGTCATATTCTTTGAGCTCTACAAAGATGCTTTTAAGGGTTTTTGCCATTCTTTTAAAACTGGTCCAAGAATCAAGGGGCTATGGTTTTGCAACAGAAAGTGTAGGGATGTCTAAATATTAATACTGGGGTTTTTTTCAGCTTGTGTTTTGGGAAGTGGTGAACACAAAACTCCTCTTCTGACTTTGGCAGTTATATAGGTATGTTGTCTCTTGAAAATGCTTAGCTATTTCTTCTGATCTTGTGAGAAGTTGGTAGTAGAGATATTTACAATTGGGAGAGTCTGTGACAAGAGGTCCAGACTGCAAGACAGAGTGTGGAGATGAAAGGCACGGACTCTGGCGGGGTGCTAGCCAAAGACCGTTATTGTTTACAGAGTTGCCCTTGCATACTACTTGCGATTGTTCACGCGCTATCAGAAGCACTCCGATAGGGCAGCCAGATACCTTCCTTTTTTGGGTCAACGGATGTCCCCTTAGTTGTCACTTTCTCAATCAGGGGCACAGGGCCAGATCATCAAGGTCGAACTCGCTGAGGCCTTGCTCCACATCTCCCCCTTTTTGTTGTTCTGTCATCATTACCTGATTCATCATTTTTTGAATCATGTTTCTCACACAACCTAGCAAGCATGGCACAATAAGCATAATACAGCAAAATATACTTATCATTAACAACCCTGTTTTAACAATTGACTGCATCCATCCTGTGATTCCCCAGCTCCTCAACAAATAGTCCAGCCAAGGTGTTCCAGCGCTACTTGCAACCTCATGGAAAATTTTTGCATGATTCCATATTTCTTGCACGTCTGTGAGAATTCGCCCTGTATGGTCCACAAAGCTACAACAGCTCTCATTTGTCATTGTACAGACCCCACCTGCTTGAGAGGTCAAGATATTTAGGGCCTTTCTGTTTTGAAGAACTACCTTTTTCACTGAGTCCAGTTCGGCTTTCAGGCCTAGTATCGCATCAGCCATCTTATTGGCAATTACCTCCATCTCTGCTGAGATGTTCCTAATTGTTTGCTCTAGCTGCAGAACGTCTAAGCTGGGAAAGAGCATCCTAACAAAACTATGGTATCTTGTGTTATAATGAATCAATGGGTTTGAGTTCTTGCTTCTTTTCGCTTAGAATCTCCTCCATGTGCCTCTCAGTATGCCCTGCATGTCGGTGTGGTTATACAACTGCAATGGAGGGGCCAGAACTCCCGTGGTACATTCCCCTGTCCAGTTCTTTGGTAATTGCTTCCTAGCCCGCAAGTACCCACACAACCACCAGAATCCATCCGGCAGGTTGCAGCTGGCATTTAGTAATTCGTTGTTGCTCTGCCAAATAGATAATCTGCCCATTGCTGGGTGCCCGCCCCTTCTGAGTATTTATCTGGCCTAAGGACGTCGAAATTGTGTTGCAGTTTTAACTTCATCGCAGACCAATTACCACTAGATTTGTGGAAGGATCCTAGATTCTTGCCTTCTGTGCTGTAATTGATAAATGCCACACTCTCATTTGCCAGGGTCAACACAAAATTAGTTTCTTCCATGGTCACATCCCCTTGCCTACAGATTTTAGACGTATTATGCAAGCTATATGGATCCAAATCCGTCCAGTTACTCAAAGGGGTACCTAGGACTGGGGAGTCCAGTTGGTCAGCAGTCCCACAAAGCCAGCGATCCTTAACTTTAGTATAATTCACTACTGCCTTAAGAAGCTCTACATATGCGTTTGTGTTAAAAGCAGCTTTAGCTACCCCTATTCCCAGTAGATATACCGCAATAAGAAGGCCTGTAGTCATCATTGTTTTCCCTTTCTCTTCCACCAAATCGTCATTCGCACTGTCCAGCTGTTTTTTCCCAGTCACTTTCCCAGACCTCCCACACCTGCGGAACGCAGCGTGCTCTTCCACATAGGAACCTGATAATCTGCGCACTAGCTGACGCGTGACTATCTCTCTTACAAAGCCTACACAGTCCTTCCCGATATCGCGAGTAACAATACCAACGACGCGTGCAAAGTACACGTTCACAGAGAGTCCACGAACTGTGTCAGGTAGATGGACATGCGAGGCATGGGATTTCTGTCTCCTGTTGGTCCTCTAAACGCCTGCTCGCTTCCACAGAATGTTCCCAATCAAGAGCTAGAGGTTTAAGGGTCAGAGTACCCTAAACCCCGGCGCGAGAGGTGTTTCCGCTGGCTGTTTCTCCAAAAAGTGATCGGTTGATCTTGCATAGCTCCCACGGATCGACCCCACACCAATGATGCATCAGCCGTCAGCGGGGAAATAAGGACGGGTGCACCGAGCCTGGATCCACCGTAGTCCTCTATCTGTAGAAACACAAGCATATCCTCCACCCCAAGTTATCAGATCAAATGGTCCCTCCCACTTACTCGTTTCTAATGATTTCACCCATACCTGAGCCTTCTGTTCCGACGGTATACCATGTGTCGGATTAATGGACAAGAAATGCTTCAATATAAATGGTAGAAATGCTTCAATATAACTGGTTTTTGATCTTCACTTACCGTTTGATTGTGTTCTCTGATTGTTAGATGATTCAGGAGATATAGGGCCTTTTGTCAGCGCGTTTGCGGAGATTCCCCTATCATTCCCCCTTTTTGTTTTTATAGGGCCATTTTAAGGGTTTGATGTGATCGTTCCACTATGCCTTGGCCTTGAGGGGAGTGTGGCATTCCCGTTGTATGTTTTACACCCCATTTAGATAAGAATTCTTGAGTTTTTGCACTTATGTACCCAGGCCCATTATCTGTCTTAATTTGATGTGGGATACCGAGGGCAGCAAATACACCCCTCCAGTGTCGGAGAATGTCTTTACTTCTCTCTTCCGTTTCGGCCGTAGCCCATATGGCCCCTGAAAACGTATCAACAGACACATGAACATACTTCTGCCTCCCAAATTCAGGGATGTGAGTGACATCGGTTTGCCAGAGTTGCAACGCCTGCAGACCGTGGGGATTAACTCCCGCAGGCTGCAAGGGTGCAACCTGGTGACAGTCGGGACATGTTTGGGCAATAGCACGCGCCACAGTCCAGGGCAGGTGAAACTGGAGACGTAACATCTGATCGCCTGTGACACTTCTGCTAAGGATTCCCGTGCTGCTGGTGTCAAACTACGAGAGGAGGATGGAGTTGGGGCCCCTTTCAATAGGGCAAACAATGGCTCTAGTACACTATTGTCTGTTCCCAACAATGTCCTCACCCAGTTAATAGACCCCATCGGTTTATGAAGGTCGTTCAGTGTTTTGATGTCTGTTTGTAATTTTACAGCCTGGGGCTCGATGGCACGGTCGAGTATTTTCCATCCCAGGTACTTCCATGGAGCCTGATGCGGTATTTTCGCAAGAGCTAACTGTAGGCTGTATGCCTTGAGGCTAACAAGGGTAGCTTGTATCACCGGTGTCAGTGCCTCAGGTGTTTTTCCTGCAAATAGTATGTCGTCCATGTAGTGATAGCAGATGATATCTGGATATTGTTGATGAACTGTAGACAGTGCTTTGGCTACATATGTTTGGCAGATAGTGGGACTATTTTTTCATTCCTTGAGGTAGTACTGTCCAGTGGTACCGTTGCGTAGGTTCTTGGTGATTTACTGATGGTAATGAAAAGGCAAATCGCAATGCATCCTCAGGAGCAAGAGGTATGGTAAAAAACCAGTCTTTTAAGTCCATGACGATAATATCCCAGTTTCGGGGAATCACTGTTGGAGAGGGCATGCCAGGTTGCAGTGCCCCCGTGTCCTCAATCACTGCATTGACTTGTCGCAGGTCGTGTAACAGTCTCCATTTACCACTCTTTTTCTTTATGACAAACACAGGTGTATTCCATGGGCTAGTGGTAGGGACAGTGCGTCCTTGCTGTAGTTGTTCGTCCACTAGTGTTCTCAATGCTTCGGCCTTTTCTGATGACAGGGGCCACTGGTCCACCCACACGGGTTTTTCAGTGAGCCATGTGAGACGAGTAGTAGGCCGAGTTGCAGCAGCCCCTTCTAAAAATGCTGACTTTGAGCAGAGGTGCCTATCGTTACTCCCCATGAGCAAAGGACATCCTGCCCCCACAAGCTGAGAGGGACATCCACAACAAATGGGGGGATGTTTGCTGCCTGCTCTTCCGGTACATGAGCACTTTGCTGGGAGCTGGGCATGCCCCCAATGCCCATAAGTCCTGTGTTAACCGATACTGTCCCCCGGGTCCGCGGCCATCGGGAGGCACTAATGATGGTTACATCTGCCCCCGTATCTACCATCCCTTTAAGTGTGACTTGCTCGGGACTCGCATTCACGTTCCTCAAGTGGCAGGTTAAGGTGGGCCGACTCGGTTGAATTTGTTGAGTCCAAAAAATTTCTGGTTCACCTGTGGACCCAAACCCTCCATCTCCCCGTGTTGTCTGTTCCGCTTCTGGCACTGCACTCTGAAAGGGAATTAACTGGGCAATTCGACTTCCCGCGGGTACATGCTCAGGGGGAGATGGAGTCCACAGCGTAGCCAATACTTGTCCTGTAAAATCTGCGTCTACGACTCCTGGGAGTACAAAAAGACCCTGAGATGTGGTACTGGAGCGGCCTAGCAATAAAGCACTTAAGTTGTTCTCCAGAGGTCCCCGTATACTAAGAGGAATCTTATGGACGGTCTCGTCGGTTATCGTGTCGTGCCGCTGGCGGCTGTGGTGACATCCACTCCAGCGCTTCCTGGGGTTTTTGCTGTGAGGTGAGCCAAGCCTGTTGAGGCTGCTGTCTCCCCCGGCTCAGGCCTGCTTGGGGCGCTGGAGGTATTGGTATCGGAGCGCGCCCGCTTCGCGCTGCTCTTCCCGTTGCCCGACAAGGGCCTGCCATCTGCATCGTACTTAGAACGGCAGTGACTCGCGTGAGGCACGCCTA